GATTTCACCAATAAGTGGAACCTAACCAGCAAAGCAAGCAGGCAAGGAAGATATGACCAGCAACAATGAAAGCGATAAAACCGACAGGGATGGGATGGAGGGAGGGAGGGGGATAACGGGGAGGTGAAGGAGGAAGGGTCAGATCAAGGAACAAGTGTGAAGGACACATGGACAAAGCCAAGGTGGAGAAGGATTGATGGGGGAGGGGAAGTGGGTGGGAGCAGGGTAAAGTGGGGGCAGGTAAAGGGAGACAAGCGTACTTGAAAAATTTTTTAAAAATTAAAAAAATGAAAACAAACGAATAATAAAATGTATATAGGGACTAGGGGAAGAGTTCAACTGTTAAAAGAAAAATACTATTAGTTTCTCTTTCTAACATGTATGACGATTTCTCTTTTTACTTGTGCTACTTGCATGGCTTTTCTGTAAATCACAGTGGTATGCTGAACTGCAAATATAAAAGTAATGTTTTTGGTCTAATAAAATAAGCTGTGTTACTTGCAAAAAAAAAAAATACAAAAAATAAATCACACCCCAAAAAAACTAGAGCCCTGACATTGTCTTCAGAATTTTGGGTAGAATTTTTAAAATTTACAGCATCTCTGCAGGTCTTAGGGCTGATCAAATAGCTATTCCAAACAAACAAAAAGGCTACTTATGGTTTGCAGAATTCTTATTATTCATATAAGAATTCTCTCATGGAAACAATTATATTTCTATAAAATGAAATTTACACTTCTTACATACAAACTTTGACCATTCTCTTTTGTATATTAAAAAAGAAAACCTACGAGATGCAAAGCCCTTAACTACTAGTGAGTGAATCCATTTATATGATAAATATTTAAAAATTTTTTTCAAATAGGCAAAAAAATTGTATTTAATAAACAGATTCTTTACACAACTGCATTGCAGATACCAAAGTTCTTTGTTTTCTCTCAATCCTACCCTAAAAACCAGAGACATAAAAGATAAAAACTGTTAGCCCTGGCTGCTGTGGCTCAGTGGGTTGAGTACCAGCCTGCAAACCAAAGGGTAGCCAGTTTGAGTCCCAGTGTAGGGTACATGCCTGGGTTGCAGGCCAGGTACCCAGTAGGGGGCGTGCAAGAGGCAACCACACATTGACATTTCTCTCCTCCTCTTCCCTTCTGTAAAAATAAATAAAAATCTTAAAAAAAACTTTAAGAAAGATAAAAACTGTTAATTAATTATATGTAGCTTGAAAATAAAACACCTTCTAACTCATAAGACTAAGATGCAGTTTGGAAAGTAAAAGATTGAGGATGAGGTGTCTAAGTTATAGTCCTAGCACTCAGCCACTAACCAGTTACCTGATTTCTCAATGTTTCATCTTCAAATTTATTTTCATTCACTCCACAAGGATGTATTGAAGGCCTACAACACATGAGACGATGAAACAACAACAAAAGAGATGGGTAAGATCCCTGTCCCACTGAAAGGATTAAACAAGCAATTATAACAAAACAGGTAAGCAGTACAGTAAGAAATGTAGAGAAAATAAAAGGTGCGTTTCTGGTTATACAAACCTAGAAAGCACCCTGGATGCCTCTCTTCCTCTAACCTCCAGTGCAGTCCATTACCATCACATTGACTTGTCCTTCAAATGTCTCCACAGCTCCACTGCCACCACTACACTACTCCATCTACCATCCTTTCCTGGTGCACTGCAATAGCCTCTCCAACTGGGTAAGTAAGCTCATTATACTCTGGCCCATCTCCACTGGGTTCCCACAATGTAGTCAAAACAAACTTCTGAAAATATTAACTCTGATCATGTACACCAGTCTCTCCTCCTGCCCTTCCCCTCCTCCCACATCAGTCCCTGGGCCTGTGGGTCCTTCTCACGGCAGTTCCATTATACAACACATGTTGTTCCCTTTGCCCTGAATGCAATCACCTCTCCTCCTTGGTAAAAACTCCTATTCACTCTTTCATGCTTAATTCAAAAGTTATTTCCTCCAGGAGAGTTTCATTTATTAAATTATATCCTCTACAAATACAGTATCACGATACTGCGCACCACTCCTTTATATCACCAGAGGTACACACAGGCTGTCATAGGAACCCAGAGGAGTAGGAAATGTACCCTGGCAGGATCAAAGAGCTATCAGGAACAGTGATGTGTAAACTGAGGCTTAAGGATGAGTAAAAGCCACGTGGAGGACACAGGCACAGAAGTCAGAAATTAGCTTGTCCCTTGCCTTATAATCCCAAGGCACTTAACGCACTGTGGAGAATATTTGAATAAATTAAATGATTAAATAGTATTCTCTTAAAACAAACAGGTAATGTACCAACTTGGAAAAACAGGTTTAAAACATGCCCCTCCAACTGGTATTTACACAACCAAAGCAGATATGACATAAAATGGATACCATCTTGTTGAAATTTTAAAGCCATTCTCTTCCATAGATGACATTATTTTTCATTGTTTCCCCATTCCTCCTTAGTGTTGATAATGGAGAGTATATAACAACAAAGATTTTCATTGGTATTTAAATGTCTGAAAGCCCTAAAAATATAGCTCAAGAATTATTAAAATATTCTTACAGTTAAATCACCTCCTATGCTTTCATTTACCAAACACATAAATAAAACAAAATGCAGTAAGTTGTACTGTCTATGGCTTAGTTTTAATAAAAATGTGTATTAAGTATTAACCAGCTAAATCCTAGAATTATTAACATCTTAAGAGAGAGACACATTCTAAATATCAAGAAGCTAAAAGTAATTCCATGTCACTGTGAATCTATTTCAACACTGCCTTGTGGAGTTGTAAGAAATCCTGCCCATGTGTAAAAGTAAGTGGTATTAGAAACAATGATATTCTACTAGCAAGAGCACACCTATTGCCCAGATCTTGGTTCTAAATACCATACCATTCTCCAATAAAAGAAATCAGGGGTTCTTGGAAATATGGTTGATTCCAGAGTTGGGCCGTGGAAAATATAAGATGAGCCTGGAACATCTTGTGATTCCAGAAAGGAAGAAATGCTCAAAATCAAGAGTAGGGATTGTTAAAGAACACAGAAGCCAACATGAAGGAGGTCTAATAGCCAAAGCTAGAACAATTTGACAAGTAAAATAAATGACAATGTTAAATTCTAACTCAAATATCCATAAGTCCATTCTGATATTAATATTATAAAATATAGAAGAGAAGGGGAAGGGATGGCTCTTCCTTATAATTCCAATTAATAAATGCAGAAAGATCGAATTAAAAATCACAAATAGGCAAACACTACAGTAATAACTGTTGCAGACAAGATTCACCAGTGGGTGCTAAAATTAGTGGGGGAAATGTGAGGCAAATGTTGGCATAGTGCCAACATATCTCTTCCAAGATCTTTATTAACCACCCCCCCAAAAAAAGTCAGTAACTGTACAGTGGAAAACCAAGTAGACAGCACCTTAGCCAGATGATCACCAGTAACAGGACATATCAACCTCATAAGCCCACTAATAGAATGCACTGAGAAGGACACAACATCAATTCTGTGGTATTTCTGCCAAAACATATGACCTCATTCCATTTGTACAAAAATGTCAGCCAAACCCAAACTGAGGGACATTCTACAAAATAACTGATGTATAGTCTTCAAAAGTGTCAAAGTCATGAAAGAAAAGGAAAAACTAAAGAACACGGTGAAGGAGAAAAGAAAACTAAACACAGTGTGCAAACTGGGAGGATCCTGGAACAGAAAAATATATTAGAAAAACTGCTGTAATTCAAATAAGGTCTATAGGTAATAGTATTATAACAATGTTAACTACCTGGTTCTGATAATTTTACTATGGTTATATAGTAATATTAACATCAGTGAAGCTGGGTGAGTTGTATACAGGAATTCTCAGTACTATTTTTACAACTTTTTACATGTCTAAAATTATTTGAAAATAAAAAGTTTTAAAACCATTAAAATGGTAAACTAAGTGGCATTAATGCACCATTCAACCTTGAAGACAAAAACAGAAAAACACACAAAGGTGTGACTCTGCTCCTTGATGGAACCTCCTCCTCTGGACTTGCCCACACAGCCCCACCCTCAGAGGCAAGAGACAGGGACTGGAGGGAAGTAGTGGAGGAAGACATTATACACAGTCTGCTGGGAAAAAGGTGCATATATTGTAATAATTTCCTGAAGGTGGCCCCTGATATTAGGGAAGAAAACTCACATTCTATCCATACATGCCAAAGGATAATTCTCAGGAAAAACAAAACAAAACAAAACACAGTGGTTTTCCCATGAAGGATGGTGTGTGGTTGGGGGTAAGGAATGTGAGAAAAAAAAATGTGATTTCATTTGCCAAGAAGATTTCACATTGTTTACGTAGAGAGAGTAATCACTTGGAAAAATGGTTAGAATTTAAAACTTTATCAATATCTTCACAATGTAATATTGTATTCAAATAGTATAAATATTTTTGTCTTTCATTTAAAAATATTACATTGATAAATTAGTTATGTCTATAAAACGTCAAAGCCAACTTTCACTTCTGCTTTTCATCTTAGCAGATATGTTTTTCAACTCTCATACAATACTCAGACTCATGACTTTAAACTCAGACTTCACAAAAAAGAGGTTGCACTTCAGCTCTAACATTTTTTCAGCAAAGAATATAATGCACAATAAATGTTCCTGTGAATAATCACACTGAAGAGGAATAAAGAATCCAGGACACTCAAGAGGAGGAGGACATTCTGATACGGTATAAAGAACATGGACCATGGAGTAAGACAGACCCGAGATTAAACCTCAGCTCTGCGTGTTATTGGCTCCTGGACCCTAATCAAGTTCTATAAACTCTACTTATTCTGCCTGCAAAATGGCAAGAATATCACTGAACTCACTCTATTGTAAGGAATAAATTGAGTATACATAAAATGTTTGGCCTATAGCAAATCACTCTATAAATATTATTAGCTCTTTCCTTCCTTTCCCATTTCACTTTTAAAGAGATGTTCTCTGAAAACATACCGATTGAAGTTAATGTCTGGGTAATTAGAATACTCCGATTTCATTTTAGCATTTCGACGTGGAAATGTGCAGAAGAAAGCATTAGCTAAAAGACTGGCAATCTGTTCCTGTGACATTGTGATGGAATGATTCATCTTCTGCTTCAGGAGCGGTATTGGCTGATATAGGAAAGAAAGAATACAAAAAAAGTGCAATAATTAGTTCAGCAATTTCAACAGCAGAGGCCTCAAATGGCATTTACTAAATTAAGGTAGGAATACCTTCAGGCTACTCTTGAATTCTTAAATCAGCAATACTGTTAGAAAAATGTACTTGTTTGACTAACTGCAGATATCTTAAAAATAATGATAGTAAAGAGAACACAAAACATTACTTATTAGTGAAAAACAAGATTGCTTTAGCAAGTAAGAAATTAAAACACATTACCCATGTAATAAAAACTTAAAGCAAAGGGTAAAGGACAATGATATAATGTTCAGTTTATTGTCACATATAAAAAATTTTGTTCTCACTATATTAAATATTGTTAGAGCAATTTTTCTTTTAGTCCTAAATAAAATAATCTATGGAAAATAACCCAATAAATAAGTATTTTCCTTCTAATTCTGAATCACACTTCACATTGACAATTTCTTTATGAAACTCAACCTAATTTTTTGATAGCAATTAACAGAATATATGTATACAGACTTATGTATAAGTTTTAAGAAGACAGGCATTTTCTACCTAAGCATTCCAAGTCAAGGAAGAAGCAGGACATTTTATCTTCAAGATTTTGATGTCTGAAATTCCTTCTAGTTGTACCAAACCTAAATTTATTGATCTTCCAGTTTCTATATAATCCACAGGACCTGATTAGTGTATCCAGTGGGTTTTATTCTATTCTAAATGTTTATACAATAAGTTTAAAGACACAATGGTAACATCAAAGACCAACTGCCAATATCTCTTTTATACATCAGTTGTTAAGTTCAAAATGTTCAGGTCAGGGGATGCTTTTCCTTCTACCTTTCAATAAGAGCCAGAATTAAAAATCCTGGATACCTGCATTAATCACAAACCACTATGCAAAGAGAACTGTTCTGATCATATCTTGGGAACCAACATCAGAAATGACACTGAGGAAAGGCAGGCAAGACAAATCAAAACTGCAATACTATAAGAATGAACTTTTCTCCTAGTAACAGAAAATACACATCATTGCTAGAATAAGAGTTTGCTAGAAAAAGAAAAGATTAAACTTGCAGTTCAACTATTTCTCTTAGAAAAATACAAAGGTAAACAAACAAGGGAAACAAAGAATTTATTTTCACTGTGGTATCAAAAATTTTCTCTCCTTTTAGGACTTAGCAATCACTATTTCTAAGGGAGAGGAAATATGTCATAATGCTCTCCATTTCCCACCCTGTACATTTACTTACAATCTAGCTGTAAGTTTAGAAAAGGTAACAATGTGTTAATGGCTTAAAGCAAACTGGTACTTGGTTTTAGTAAGAAATGAGATTTTAACTACCATATACCAAGTTACCCACAAAATGATTTTACAAATTAATGGTGATATTTTCAGCTTCACAAACTTTCAACACAAATATTTCTTGTCTCTCTAATAACCAAATAGTGTAATTTTAAATATAATAAGTGATTTCTGTTCTCTTGGTCAGGAAGAAATATCTGAAAGCTCACTTGGGGAAAATCCAAGGATGTAAATCTTACTCTCAAGTGCTCAACTAAATAAAATAAGAGACTGTTTAATATAAACAAAGATCTTTTCCAAAGTGCATGTCCAAGCAGAGAACTATTTTTCAGTAGACAAGCACCAAATTAAAATTATTCATGGCATCAATACACTAATGGTAGAACAAGGCTATTTTAAGTCAGGAAAAAATGCTGGGGAGCCACAAGTCTAATTTTGGTTCTGCCAAGTGATTTATAGCTTACAAATTTACATGCTTTTGAATATATGTATCACATTAAATATGAAAATATTCTCTCCTAAGCATAAGGGGAAGAGGAGATTAAGTGATTCATGTCTAAAGGCAATACATTGTCAATTATGAACTATACATTCAATTCAAAAGCATTTAATTATGTGGAATCTAAAGAACAACATAAAGGAACAAACAAAACAGAAACAGACTCATAGATACAGAGAACAGACTGATGGTTGCCAGAGTGGAGGGGCCTTGGGAGCTAGGTGAAAAGGTAAAGGGAATAAAAAGTACAAATTGGTAATTACAAAATAATCATGGGGATATAAAGTACAGCATAGGCAATATAGTCAATAATACTGTAATAACTATGTATGGTGCCAGGTGACTACTAGAAATATTGGGGGAAACACTTTGTAAAGTATATGACTATCTAACCACTATGCTGTATACCTGAAACTAATACAAAATAATATTGAATGTCGGTTAAAAAATAAAAACTAAATAAAATAAAAAAAACATTTAATTAAGCACTATGTTAAATTTGGGAAACACAAAGAGGATCTCCCTTGAAGAACATAATCAGATGAGATATATAAAGACATAAATTACAAAATAATGTGCTAAATATGATTTGAGTGCTATAGGAAGGATTAGATTTGGCTGGGAGAAATAGGGAAGGCTTTGCAGGGGAAGTACAAGTTAGAGCCTAAGAGGCAGAGAGATATTTAAGTAGGTGAGGAAAAAAGCAAGGAGGGAAAGGAAAAAGAATAAACATGAAACACAAGTAAGCAAATACAGGCATAACTTGTTTTATTGAGTTTTGCTTTATTGCACTTCGCAGATACCTTGTTTTTTACAAATTGAAAGTTTGTAGCAACGCTGCATCCAGCAAGTCTATTGGCATCATTTTTCCAATAGGCTCAGATTATGTTAACATTTTTTAACAATAAAGTATTTTATAATTAAGGTATATACATTGTTTTCAGACATACCGCTGTTGCACATTTAATAGGCTACAGTACAGTGTAAACATAACTTTTATATGCACTGGGAATCCAAAAAATTAAATGACTTTCTTTATTGCAATATTCACTTTATTGCAGTGGTCTGGAGTGAACTGTATTATCCCCGAGGTACGCCTATAACTTCCAACATAAACAACCAGGTGAGTTTTAAAATATATTTACTCTGACCAATAAAAAAACTTATTTCAGACACAGTGCATTAATGAGGTAAAATTAAAGCTACATTAAATTGGCAATACCACAGTGAAATGTTAACAAGTAGAGCACACTGAAAAACATTCAATGGTTCTCAACTGAAGGTGGCAGAATGGCATGCAGGGATCTGGACATGATTTTGGGTTGTCCCAGCGACTATGCTTGTAGTTTTTGAGGTACACCACTGACAGATCAAAATACATAAGTCCATCTCACACATTCAGACACTGTTCCACCCAGAATGTCCCCAAGGCCTCTGTGGAGAAACAGTGTTAAGTAGAACCCTGTCTAGCATCCATGCAGCAAGGGGTCTGGCCTTAAAAATAAAAGACAAAGGCAAATTCAAACCACTGTTGTGAGAAATGTGGGAAGAAAATCATGAAGAACAAACCAACACCTCTTGTGGAGTTTGAAAATGCGCATGCAAATTCTTTGATACCTCCTTCTTTCAAGAATTAGAGTTTAATTTCCATCTCCTTGAGCATGGGCTAGATTTAGCAATTAATTTCTAATGAATAGAAAAGTAGCAGTAATGATGCTGGGTGTCTTTAAAAACTAAATCAAAAAAGGCACAAGTACTCCTTGTTCTCTCCCTTGAGCAGCTTGTTCTGGGGAAGTCAGTAACCAGGTCATGAGGACCCCCAATCAGCATATGGAGAGACAGACACGTAAGTCACTGAAGTTTGAAGTAGTTTGGTATACATCAATAAACAATTTTAAAACTCCAGACAAAACAGAATATTACCAAATTCCTTCTTCTACTTTTAAAAATTAAGAAAATACCATGAGTTCATTTGTTATACAATATACCCTTTTGAGGGCAGGGGGTGGGTAGAGGAGGGAGTAGGTATGATTAAGCCATTTGGAAGATAATCCATTGTTATGTTTTTGAAATAATTACTACTGTTTTGTGTTTTTTTTTAAAGTTAGGGTCTGTTTAAACAAAAAGAAAAAGAAGTCTGAGTAAGCAAACTTCAACAGTATAAACTGAAGCTCAGAAATTGAATGCTGCATTTTTAATGTCCTTTTGTAGCATTTCTTTAGCCTCTAACCTTTTCTAGCAAAATTATCATATTCTTTGGTAAAAATTTTTACCCGTCCCTCTTTTCTGCTTCCTTGACCTTGGCCATTAGAGTTTAATTATGTGTCAGAAGAAAGTTACTGGGGAAGAAGGTATTTCCACTAACCTGTGTGCAAATATTTGGCAGGCAAAGTGCAATTTTCACCATATCAGGCAAAATGGACTGATATAAATGTTGGGCTTCTGCTTCTTCAAGTACCTGAAAACCAATGAAATATGTTATCAGTGATTGTCTGCTATGAACTTAAATTACATACCTGCTTTTCATAGGATTTTATAATAACGCATATTATCAGTACTAACAGGTGCATGAAGGTGAACTTATAAATTCATTTCCAAATGTATGTTAATGCCCTCTGAAAACTAATTATGTATCCCAAATATCAAATATCTCTTATATCAGCATTCACAATTAAATAAAACAGTTACAAATAAAAAAAAAAGTACACTCTGCCCTTGGTCATGTCAACTAACTGCGTGGCCATCAAGAACTCTCCAGAAGCCCTCAAGGACCCATCTAGCTTCAACAGTCTAGAATTTAAAGAAATCACCATAAAAGCCACACTCATTATATCAGAGTACATTATTGGATAGTAAACAGTGAAGTTTTTGATGACATTAGAATTTGCCTTTTCCAGACCAAATTTCCATGTCATAATTTAAAGCACAATAAAGATGGCATTCATGGCCCAGTTTTGTCTTTTATAATTTCCCATCTCTACTAGGTTTCAGAAATTACTTTAGGCCTTTTAATCTAATTTCACTCTAAATATCAGTGTACCTCTTTAAAAGTACTAAAAATAACAACACTCTTAATTAGGAGATACAGTCGAGATTAAGGTAAATCATTTATCTACTTGAAATCACACTTGAACTAGAAGAGGTCACATTTATAATACAGTCTGATAACTGTCATTATTGAAGTGAAGAGACAACGGAGACAAAGGAGGTTACCTGATCATCCTAGATTGTGAAGGTCAATTAAGCAATTAATCAGAAGTAGAACCCAAGCATTCTCACCTATCCCTACTTCCTTATGGGACCAGTATTTGGAACTGATGACCTTCAGACTCTTAACAAATATCTATAGATTTCCTCTGCTATCAGAATATAGATATTCAAAAATACCTATAGATTTCCTCGCTGTAAGCCAAAATAAAAAAAAATATCCATTCATTTACCTGCAGCAGGACTGGGTTTGTGTGTAAACAGAAAAAGTAACAAAGATCATTCATATTCACTCTGGTTTTACAGGAAATTCCTAACACTAAGAATTGTCTTATACACCAAAGCTCTAAAATTTAACCTATGCTTAGCACAAAGAAAAAAACTTCAGTCAGAAGGAACAGAAATATATTTGCTTTTCAGTGATATACAGATATATTTATTAATCATAGATATACAGAAAACTAAGCAAGTGCACAACACAATTATTGATTTTGGAAAAAACAAAAAGTTATAGAAGAGCAGAAGAGCAATCATATCTTAGATACAGTGTTTTCACCATCCTGCTAAGAAAACAGAATATTGATCTAATTGAAATACATACAACTATAGTGGGAAAATGGGAAAACTGAAATAAGGCTTTGCTACTGGTGATGGGGGAAGTGAATAATAGCTAAATCCTACTGTTCTATAATGAGAAATTTACACATGTAAAAAAATAGCTTAAGAATCCAAAAGGGTTAAATGGCTGCCTCTTCCATATAAGCTTTAAGTCTCTTTAATAAAAATAAAAATGAAATTAAAAAAATACATTCATAGAAGGCATCCTACCTCTTCCATATAAGCTTTAAGTCTCTTTAATAAAAATAAAAATGAAATTAAAAAAATACATTCATAGAAGGCATCCTATTATTTTAGAAACACATGAGACCTTAAAATTTTTCCTTTTCTAGATACCCTTGGGAAGCTAAAACCATATCTTCAAATCATAATTTGAAGCATAAAAATGACATTCATGGCCCCTGTTTGTCTTTTATGATTTCCCATCTCTACTTGCTTTCCTGTATCTGAAAATACATAATATATATTAATGCACTTGATTAAAATTTACAAAATCTTCTTATTAATAACCTATTTTTGCTTTTTAAAACACTTAATTTTGAAATAATTATACATTCATAAGAAATTGCAAAATTAGTATATACAGAAGTCCATTTTACTCTTCACTCTGTTTCCCTTAATGGTTACATTTTACATAACTATAGCAGAATACTGAAACCAAGAAATTAATACTGGACAAATTTATGTGTATCCTTTTATGCTATTTCGTCATATGTACATTCCTGTAACCATCACCAAAATCAGGATAAAGAAATGCTCCATTACAACAAATATCTCCCCCATTCTGTCCACTCACAGTCACAAACTCCTTCCTCCAATCATTCCTCAACCTAGCAACCACTATTCTCTTTTCCATCTCTAAAATTCTGTCATATTATATAAATGAAATCAGAGAGTATAAGACTATGTCCTTTAAATATTGACCCTTTTCACCAAGCATAATGCCCTTCAGATCTAATTTTTTAATCTTTACTGTATTTTGTCCATAACCATTTAGTCCCCTTATACCCTGCTTCCCCAAGCAATCAGCACACTACTGTACATGCCATGAGTCCTTTTTCCTCATTTCTCCACACTCTAAATCACCCCCCCCCCCAAGCAGTCTGCCTTCCATCTACACGACTGTCCCCATTTTCCCTGTTAGTTCAGTTTGTTCATTAGATTTCACATATGAGTGAAATCATATGGTGTTTGTCTTTCTCTGACTGGCTTACTTTTCACTTAGCATAATGTCCTCCAGGTCCATCCATGCTGTCACAAAGGGTAAAACTGTCAGCAAGGTGGATTAGGTCACAATAAAGGCCATTTATGACAAACCCACTGGCGGCATCATACACAATGGGCAAAAAAATACAAGTGTTCCCCTTAAGATTGGGAATAAGGCAGGGATGCGTGCTTTTAACCTCTCTTATTCAACACAGTACTAGAAGTCCTAGCCACAGCAACCAGACAAGAAGAAATAAAAGACGTCCAAATTGGAAAGGAAGAAGTAAAACTGTCACTGTTTGCAGATGACAAGATACTGTAATATAGAATCTCAAAGACTTCACCAAGAAACTACTAGGACTGATAAATGAATTCAACAAAGTAGCAGGATACAAAATTAATATCCAGAAATAATTTGCATTTTATGTGCCAATAATGAACTAAGAAATTAAGAAAGGGAATTAATGAACTAAGAAAGGGAAATTAAGAAAAAAATCCCATTTACAATTGCTACAAAAAGAATAAAATACCTAGGAATAAACCTAACCAAGGATGTAAAAGACCTGTGCTCAGAAAATTATAAGAAACTGAAGAAGATACTGCCCTGGCTGGTGTGGCTCAGTGAATTGAGTGCTGGCCTGTGAACCAAAGGGTCGCCAGTTCAATTCCCAGTCTAGGGCACATGCCTTGTTTGCAGGCCACATTCCCCTGCACCCCCCGCCAGAGGGGACACATGATTCGCAACCACAGATTGATGTTCCTTTTTTTCCCTTTCTCCCTCCCTTCCCCTCTCTATAAATAAATAAATAAAATCTTTAAAAAAAAAGAAATTGAAGAAGACACAAATAAGTGGAAGCATATACCATGTTCATGGATAGGAAGAACTGGCAACATTAAAATGTCCATACCACCCAAAGCAATCTACAAATTCAATGCAATTTCTATCAAGATTCCAAATGACATATTTCACAGAACTAGAACAAATATTTCAAAAATGTATATGGAATGACAAAAGGCCCCATATGGCAACAGCAATCCTGAGAAAGAAGAATAAAGTTGGAGGAATCATGCTACCTAATATCAAACTATAGTATAAGGCTATAGTAATCAAAACATCATGGTACTGGCATAAAAACAGACACAGACAGCGACTGAACAAAAGAGAAAGCCCAGAAATAAACCCACATCTTTATAGTCAATTAATATTTGACAGAGAGAGCAAGCGCATACAATGGGCTAAACTTAGTTTATTCAATAAATGGTGTTGGGAAAATTGGACAGATATGAGCAGAAAAATGGAACTAGACCAACCTTTATAAACCACAAACATGAATACATTCAAAATGGATCAAACACTTAAATGTTAGACCCAAAACCATAAAAATCCTAGAGGAAAACATAGGCAGTAAAATCTCAGACATTGCTCATAGCAATATTTTATTGGATATATCTCCCCAGGCAAGGGAAACAAAAGAAAAACTAAACAAATGGGAGTACATCAAAGTAAAAAGTTTTTGCACAGCAAAGGAAATTGTCAACAAAATAAAGAGACAACCCACAGAAGAACATATTCACCAATACATATGATAAGGGGTTAATATCCAAAATTTACAAAGAACTTAAAAAAACTCAAAAACTCAACACCAAAAATGCAAACAACCATATTAAACAATGGCCAAAGGACTTGAATAGACACTTCTCCAAACAGGACATACAGATGGCCAATAAACATACGAAAAGATACTCAACGTCACTAATCATCAGAGAAATGCAAATTAAACTCACAATGGGATATCATCTCACACCTGTCAGAAAGGTTATCATCAATAAATCAACAAACAAGTGCTGGCGAGCATGCAGAGTAAGGGGAACCATTTTGCACTGTTGGTGTCAATGCAAGTTGGGGCAGCCACCCTGGAAAGCAGTATGGTGATACCTCAACAAATTAAAAATGGATTTGCCTTTCGACCCAGCTATCCCACTCCTGGAAATACATCTGAAGGTACCCACAACTCTGATTCAAAAGCACATAAGCACCCCAATGTTCACTGCAGCACTATTTACAATCACCAAGATATGGAGCAGCCCAAATGTCCACTAGTTGAGTGGATGAAACATCGATGGGACATTTTACACAATGGAATACTACATGGCCATAAAAAAAAAACACATTTGTATCTATTTAAATATATGCGAATATAAATACTTAATTTCTTATTGCTAAGTAGTATTCCATGGTAGGAATACATGCAATTTGTCTATTTATTCACTTACTGAGGGTATTCTGGTTGTTTCCAGTTTTTAGCTATCACAAATGAAGCTGCCTTTCACATTCTATCTGCCTATATCATTTTATGTCTGAAATGATTTCTTATAATCAGCGTATAGTGTGTTTTAATGTACTCTGTAAATCTTTTAATTGGTGAA